TAAAAGGAGAAGAGGACAAAGAAGGTAAAAGGAGAAGAGGAGAGGAGGACGGCAGAGGATGAGATAGTTACTCAGAGGATGAGATAGTTACATCACTGAAGCAATGAGCATGAAACTGAGCAAACTCAGGGAGGCAGTGAAGGACAGGAAGGCCTGGCGCAATATGGTTCATGGGGTCACGAAGAGTCGGACACAACTTAACGACTGAACAACAACAACAACCTAAGTAATACATTACAATTTGCTTAGAAGTATGTTCTGGTATCTACTATTATGTATTGTACTAATTTTAGTTTTTAAAATATGGAAATATTACTAGCTGAGCATGCCTTGCAGACTGTAGCATACTAGCATAGTAGAAATCTGTGGCTGGCTAGATAAGATGACTGTTTTAGTTAAAAGCTTGCACAAACACTTAAACTGGCTCATAACTCCACATCAGTTGATTTGTTTGCATATACAGTTGTATGCAAAGGTTTAGGTATCTCTGGTTAAATTGTATGTTTCATCAATCCCTAAGGGAACAGAAGCTGAAACAACCTCTTCATGGTAGAAAGTTAAATGACATCTTCCTGCACATTTGAATCCATACTTACTAGTTATATCCAATTGTTTACAGATTCAAAAGAGGAAAAAATAAATATGGCAGATGCAAAAATGTGGTCACCTTTGCAGTTAATTAGTTCTACTGTTTTAAAAAATGGTTAAAAAATTATTTGATTCATTAAGATTACAGTTAGCTTGATTAAGATACTTTGCCAAGTGAACAAAACAATCCCACCCTTTTTACCTCTTTGAGTGTGATTATTCGTCTGTCTACTTGGGCTCTTCTAAGCAGTTGAGCATTTTAAAATGAAAATAAACCACTCTTAGAAAAGCAGGAGAAAGCTATAAAAAAATCTAAATGCTTTCAGCAAGGGAAGATCTGAAAGACCAAAAAAAAAATCCCTGCTAGAACTATCATAAAACTAATCAGATCTGAAAACAGAAGCCATGAATCATGGAAACAACCTGCTGAAAAGTTTAGCTGACCCCAGGGTAATTGTCTATAGGTTCACAATACAGCATTACATATACAACCATGATCTGTTTTCTCTGAAATCATCACAAAATCAATTGTCAATTGTCAGAAAAAGTCAGTAAGCCTGAAACATTTTGGAACATAGTTCTCTAGACTGATGAAACAAAAATTGAGCTGTTCAACCACAGCCACAGCCACACAATATATTTGGGGGAAAACGGTGAAGCATTTGAAGAAAAGAATGCATTGACAATCATAAAGTGTTAGAGTAGTTCTATGCTTTGGGGTTTTGCAACATCAGCTTGTCGTAGAGGATGGTATCCTATAGTCATTGAAGAAACTGAAGTTGAAAGGTTAGATATTTCAGCAAGACAATAGTCCAAAGCATACCTCTAAATTAATCATGAAGTACTTATAAGAAAGAAAGGTGAAGGTTTTGGAATGGCCTTCAAAATCCCTATATTTGAATATTACTGAAAATCCGTGGGGATATATCAAGTATGCAGTGCATACAAGGAGACCTAAGAATATTTCTGAGCTAGAAGAGTTCTGCAAGGAAGTGTGGGAAAAAATTCCAAAAGAGAAAAAAAACAACCCCAGCAACCCACTCTTAACTGGAAATAGGAAACATTGGGAAGGTATTATTTTGCTAAAAAGATGTTATAATGTCCAGACTGCACCTGCCATACTCAGTTTTCTTATTTTGATCCGTAAGTAAGTATGCATTCAAATTTGTAGAAAGATATTTGATACATGCATAGCATTTCTTGGCTGTATTGATAAATGATTCCTTGTTTATTATGTTTCTATATAAGAAGAATGAAGCACTGTAAGTAACTGCTGCCTTTTGAAAGAATAGTTTTTTACATAAGTTCAGTGATGTAGTTGTATATTCTTTTGTGAATATTCCATGTGTCAAAGGTTCTGGTTTTTCTGAACATACAATAAAATAATAAAGATGTTTAAAGGTATTCAAAAATAGATCCTATTTAAGAACTGTTTAAATTTTTAAATGATTAGCATTTGCCTTTTCTTGTACTGTTAAGGCAAACTATTTGGTATGTGCATTTTCTTCTTAAAGAATTTCCCTTCATTAGATTCTTTTTTGATTTAGGAACGGAGGCTTTTAATTGTCCTCAGTAATTGCTGCTATTTAGAACGTCACACATTCCTCAATCTAGCTGAACAGTTTGAGAAACATGGTTTCCAAGGAGTGGAAAAAATTATTCAAGTAAGTATTTTCTGACTGTAGATTTCAGATAAAGTAATGTTAGTAAGATTAGAGTAACTTGAAAAAAAAATAAGCCACTTTAGAACTTTCTCATTTTTTAAATTGTTATACTGACTTTGTTGACTTTATTTTCATAAGAAAGCAGGATTCACAAATTGTAAAATGAATCATGAAATAAATTGATCCTGACTGTTGAGGCTACTGTCCACCTAATTTCAAAATGCTTTATGTATATTTTTAAGAACGGAAAATCTGAATATTGTGAAGTATATATATTCACAGTTTGGCATCCTCCACACTAATCACAATTAATGTAAGAAATGTCTTGCTATTAAGCCTGAGGTTTAACCTAGCCTGGGTATGCAGTTTCAGCACAGGGGAGTTCAAGCAAGGGCTATGCATTACGATACTTTTTGCCTTTGAATCCAAAGCCCTGCACAGCCCTATTATCCACTGTGTCTTAATGTCAGAGGTATGGTTCCTTTATGTTTGGGGTCAAATCCCATGCCAGTTGTCTACAGGCAAATGTGCTTCAGTCAGCAAAGCCTCTCTGCAGCTCTTCACACACCCTCAGCATCTTTTCTTGGGGGGACTGCAGAAGGGAGACATATGATGAGTTGCAGGGAGAAAAGAGAAAAGATATTTTGGTTGAGGAAGCAGAACATTATTTCTATCCTTGGAGTTTACATTGTTAAATTTCTTATCTGTTAACTCCTGTACTTCTTTTGAAGGCTTTCTTAAGCTAATTATGGGTGATTAATGGCTTTCTTAATTTAAGTATGTGTTGTGTCAAAAGCTATTGTCTATAACAATAAAATCAGATACTAGTCATATCCTTGCAGAACTTGGAAGGAACTCTGGCACAGCCAGTTTACAAATCCAGATTCCAGATAAATCAGGTATTCTTAAAGAATGAGAGTGAGATAGAGACCTCAGATCTAAGAATCTAAACTATTAGCCCCACTGTAGACCCATCTTAGTCTATGTGGCTTTTCCAAGAGACTTCTTAACAAATCAGATTCACATTGGTTAACAAGCAACAGATCAGGCTAAGGAACTTTCTAAATAGAGATAGAAACATCCAATTTAGGAACTGTATGCTTAGATATATCTTTGTTAGTTAATTGAATTATCCCTTGTATTTTTGAATTGGGTATATATAATGCCTTTAATATTCATCTTCACCAAATGCAGATCTCTTGATATCTTTAAAAAGTGGCCTCCAGGTCTCCAGTATTTCCTCCCACCTACCACATTCTCTTTTTTTATATATATAATTTTTATGAAAGAAGCTTTCAACATAATAAAAACAATACAAATTTTGAATTGAAGAGAAAAAGGATAGGGAAAAGTAATAAGAAAGTGGAAAAGAAATAAAGCAAAGGAAAAAAAGAGAAAAAAATAATAAGGAAGTGGCTTCCAATCCTCTTAATAGCAGTTATAAGTGCATTTATATTTTACCCTCTCTCTCTGAGGTTACATCATAATTCCCTTCTTTCCATAATCTACCCTTTCTAATCAACAAATCCATAAATCAGTTTGTTTTTTTGTTTTTTTCAGCAGAAAATCCATAAGGGGTTTCCAGTCACTAATAAACATAGTTGTTCATCTTTATCTAAGCAAACAAGTTAATTTTTTAATTTTTAAAACATCTGCTAGAGATGTTTTTGCCAACCATTGGTCTGTTGTGGGTATTTCAGAGTCTTTTCATTTTTGCGCATATAGTAGTCTCCAGGGTTGATCATATATAAAAATAATCTTCCATGACTCTTTTCTAATTGTCTGTCCACTAGTCCAAGCAAAAAAAGTTCTGGTTTCACTTGAATATTAGTCTTTAAAATTCTTTGTATTGTTTTATGTATTTGAATCCAAAATTTTCTGGCTTTTTTACAAGTCCAGCAGGCATGATAAAATGACCCTTCATGTTGTCTACATTTCCAACATAAATTTGAAGTACCTTTATACATTCTAGATAATTTTTCTGGAGTCATATACCAATGGTACCTCATTTTATAAAAATTCTCTTAAATTATAACAAAGAGTGAATTTCAATTCTTTCAACCACATGTTTTCCCACTGTTTCAAAAATATGTTACAACCAAAGTTCTTAGCTCATTTTATCATACGGTCTTTCACTTATTCTTCCTCTGTTTCAATTTTCAACAAAAGTTTATACATTTTAACAATTACACATTCATCATTTGTTCATAATTCAACTTCAAATTCTGTCTTCTGCTGCTTAATTCCAAATGTCCTATTGTCTATTTTAAATCTTCGTCTTAACTGTGCATACAAAAACCATTGAAAGCTAAATCCCTCTACAGCCAGTTGCTCTCTTGGTTTCATCTTATATTCTCCATGCTCTTGTTCTAACATCTCTCGATAGGTTAACAATTTCTCTTTTCCAGCTGTTTCTTTCCTATAAAATGCTTTTTGTGATGCAACCACTTACCTCATTCTCTGGGATTCAGTTTCACAAAAGACTTAAGAAAGATTTGGTTGTCCTCATAGGCCAAACTGGCCAGGCTGATCTTGATTCTTGGAAATCCTACGTGTGCCTTACACAGAATCCTGATTTCCACTGACAGTACTTTATCTTTTCTTCTTAGGGATTAATACTACATCTGGACCAATGCTGGTTGTAGTTATCCATCTCATTCTGGAAGAAAAACACACATAGCAGGGCAGTGAATGCTTCAAAAATGATTTGGAAAAAGAACTCATGCAAGCACAGCACCTATTCACTAGGCAGCCATGTTTTGGGGGGGCTTTCTCACAAGCCTAAGAAACATACACTTGCTTTAAGAGTTGTATTATCGATGTAGCTGCTTTAATGTGTTGACTCACTGAAAAAAGCAACATCATTTTACTTAAGAGTAGATCAGCTTGCAAACATTCCTTTACTGGGTGCCTCCACTCACGAAACTGGAACTTAATATTTACCATTGTGAAAGAATGTGAACCTGGCTTTGCAAATGAGAAAGGAATGAGTGAACTATTAAGAGGGGACTTTAAAAAAAGATTACTCAGTCTTGAGAAAGCAAGAGAAAGAAACTTTAATTAATCCCACCTTGATTTTGTTTGGTATAAGATGGGAAGGACAGAAACTCTGACAAGCTTTCAAGATTCCTTTTATTATATCCTATAACATACCATTCCTGGAATCCCTGCAGTTCCTATTTCTTAATGTTACCTACCTTGAAGGACTGACAGCCATAAAGGTTCCTTCCAGTGTCATGTGGCTCAAATCACACTCTGATAAAATACATGCATACATTACAAATGCTTTATGTCACTTCAATCAATCAAATTTAAGCAGAATAAGGCTGTGAAATAGCAATAGCTACACCCTGCACAGCGATACCTTGCTTTCTGCTCTGCTGTGCATTCTTGCGTTGGAAAACAATACTTTATCTCTTCCCTGTTGAAGTTTAACAAACAAACAAAAATCTTGAGTATCACTTTTGTAGATGGGAATTGCAAGCCAAAAACAGCACAAAATCTTGGTCAAGTTACCTGCTTTTCCTGCATACTAACATAATTGGATGTTATTTTTCTCATTGAACCAGATGGGATTTTTTGGAAATTGTCCAATATTCTGTTCTTCTAACAAGATAACTTTGATTTAGCATTATGTCCAAATACAGCCAATATGGCAAAATATGCAATTAATCTAACTTCTGGGATTTTATCAGGTAGTTCATGAAGCATCTTGGCACTAACTCTTCAATTTTGGATTTTTTAACAAAGTATACATATTTTACAGTGTGAATGTGTATTAAATGTCTAGTATATTTGCAAGATTAAAGGAAGTGACGTGTAAATTGCATCAATTAATATTGTAAGTGTAACAACTATGTCTCTATTTTAGATTAGTATGGATTCATTAAAAGAACTAGATCAGCGGCTGTTTGAAATATACATTGAGCTAAAGGCTGACCCCATAGTAGGTTCATTGGAACCTGGAATTTATGCAGGTTATTTTGATTGGAAAGACTGTCTTCCTCCAACAGGTAAGCATTATTAGAACTCATGGAATATCTAGTATGGGTAAATATGATTTAATTTTTTCAAATATTCTGTACTACTGAAATCTGTATTGTTGCTTTTCAGATTGCCCAAGTATTTGTAGTATTATTATTAATTCCCTCAGAAGCTAGTTTTGCAAGCATTCTTGAATAAATATAAAAAATAGCTTAGCTGCTATAATACATTGTAACTTACATTACATCTGAATATTTGTGTATGGGTCCAGAATACTTTATATAAATTATGAAAATAACTATTCTAGTTATTTTCATAATTTATATAAAGATATTTTTATACCCTTTAATTTTATTATAATCCCTAATTTAGCCACCTATGTATAGATTATGTAATAGTTATCATTGTAAAAGACTGTTCACTGAAACAAATTATTCATAATAGCATTATCTGAGCCTAGCCAAAGACACTGGAATTAAGAATAAAATGTGAACATTCTTAGGATCGTAAAGATTTTTAAATTTTAATACATTAAACACTACTAAAGGCATCTATGTATTTCTTTTGGCTACCAAACTACTGTGTACCAGGAGGGATAGAAGAACACAAAGGAGGAACAATTTTATTTCCTATATCCCTAGGACGTTTCTTTCATACACTTGCTACTTTGTGCTAGTCCTACTGTTTCTATAATCTGTAGTACATTTGAGACAGTATTTGATGAAAGCTACTACTCCAAGAATTTATTAGTGTAGTTTTCTACTGCTCTTCCTGAAGTTTGCCTCATTCTCACTCTTTAGACTTCAGTCTTATATTCATTGACATTAAGAGTATGTCTTATTTAATACAGTGTGAGTTAACTTCTGAGTAAACACACATGGAGCTGGGCTGCACATATCACAGAACTGGAGTTTCCTGGAGAGCCTTATAGATAAACTTTTTGGTCAAGGGATTTTATGTGCATAGGTTTTGGGGTCCCCTCATGCATGTTAAAAAGAATGATTTCTCCTACCATATTTCTGTATCAGTCTCAAGCAGCTATATTTAAAAGTTAAGGGAACCTAGCTGACCCAGCATGGAAGATGTTAATTGGAAGTAGCAGGATCCACATGTTGCTCTTTAAATTGCCATTGCTGCGCTGTGTCCCATGTGCACCCATATCCCCAGCTGTTTCTCAAATACTTTATATATGGCAGTATCTGGGTTTATAAGTATTTAAGGTATATTTTTTTAAAAAAATAATGGAATAGTCATGTAAAAATATTTTAAGTGATGGTTTATAAGGCTGTACAGCATTCCAGGTTCGAAGAGAAAAAGGTGATTTGAGCATGAAATGGGTCTCACATCACATCTTCAGCAACACCTTAAAGTAGGTTTTTCTATGCACTGTGCTTACAATTTGAATTTAATGAAACACTTCACAATTTTATTAACATTTGGCTGAGATTAGAGCTTTGGACTTGTTTTATCACTTGGAATGATTCAAAATGTTCAAATCACTAACCTTTAACTGTAAAAATTCTTCTGTTTTCCAGTTCTTTACTTCATTTATAAGCTTATTAGATAAGACTTTTAAATTTTTAGCTGAATGCCATAGCTCATATGGGGGGTGGGGGGGAATACATTATGTTACTCTTTCAGTATACAAGCTGATGGGTTCATTTGGGTGATAGTTCTTTAAGAAGAACGGGGGAAATTATGAATGACCAAGAACACTCATAATCACATGTGAGAAAAAAATGTAGTCTTCCTCTGGTGGAGTAAGCAACACCTTTGTGAAGTATTTTCTTTTTATAACAGTAAGATGAAGTTAAAAACTCCTTCAAGTTGGGCTCAGCTTCCCATGGCTACATTGACATGTCCATGTTGTTTTCCTGGCAACAATATGGACATGATTTGTCATTATCTTTTTCTGCGGGTCTTTAATTTCCCAGTCTAACGTTCAGTTCTGGGATTTCCTGGTGACCTTCCAGCTAAAATGTGATCCTAATCTTTTTTCAAGATTAGTCAATATCAGCTAAAAGCTGCCTCTCCAATTTAGCTTACAAATTTGCAACTTTATCCATTGTTTCTGGCATTTAATTCATTGTTTATTTCTCTTGGGCTTGCTACAAATAAAATAAAATTTTATAACAAAAAATTATTTCTTATTTTTATTGTTTCATAAAATATTCTCTGATCTCTGGTGCTTATTGGTGAAAGTAATTTATTTTTAGAAGACATTATTTTTCAATTAAATAAAGAACCAGGATGGTTAGCGTCAAAATATAAAAGTACAAATGAAAATATAAAAAAAAAAATAATTCAGAGTAGAATAATACGAAATTGCCACTTGCAAAACATTACAGGTAGTCCTAGTTTAGCAACTGCCTCAGATAGCAACCATTCAGAAAAATGACAGTAATAAATGGTAATAAAAATTCATTTTCTGACCAGTGCACACATTTATGACAACAAAAGCCTTCAGTGTGAAACTGATTAAGATTTGGTCAATTTCAGGTAGCATCTGCTAAGGGTCAGAGGGTTCTAATCAACTAATTAAAGTCACACAGCTGAGCTTGTTAACTTGCTATTAGCACTTTTTGGGAAGCCTTGCACTGTGGAGAAAAGCAGCTCAGGAAGAGATCACTTGTTTAAGCAATCTCTTTGCCCTCTGAGGGGGGCAAAAAAAGGGAAAAAATGGATCAGCCACAGGTCACTGTACAAGAAAACTTTATCTGAATGTGACAGCAGCAACCAGTTATCTTCTCAGCATCTCTCTCAGTCATGTGTTCACTTAGTGACTATTTTGCTTAATGACCAAGTTGTCGGAACCAATTGCAGTCACTAAATAAGGACTACCTGTATGGCCTAGTAGTTAAAAAGCATCTGTGAATGCATCTAGTGAATTTTCCCAGAGAGATATTTCCAAAATTGAATAAAGCAAGAGAGAAAATCCCTGTTATAAATCTATTTATGTCCAAGATAAGAGAGCCTGGGCAAAGGTTTTCAGCAGTTATCCTAACTGCAAGGCTGTGCAAAGCCTCAAAGGAGTACTTCAATTTGACAAAGTATCAGTAAAAAAATTCACATAATCTACAAATCAAAACACTGACCCACCCTAATCAAGTGCTTCAATGGTTTTCCTATTGCTTCTGGGTATATTACATAGAAAATACTGTGTTGCACTATAGAGAACACTGAAAGGGGCTGAATGGTGTGATTGGCTCTCTGACACAAGTAATTATTTATGAGAGGAGTATATGTTTGATCTTAGTTTTCATGACCTCATTCATTAAATGAAGATGAGCAGTCCTTTAACTTTATTTAATAAGCACACATTCATCTATGTTGTTTTATGATTAGCTAAGGAGCAAAGCGAATTACATGAACATTTTAGAATTGATAATATTCTGCAGAGAGAGAGAAAATTAGTTAGCAAATGATCCAGAAAGTTACCTACCTTGGACTACCTTGGTTTGCCATTAGCTAGGTTATATGTTCTCTATATCTTTGTCAAACAATTTGGCATTTTAATGGAAAATTAGAGAGAATATATTTTTAAGATAATTGAGCTTCTGTTATCTCCTTGGCATTCCAAGTATTTTTGTCAGTGTAAGCCTTTCTCAAATCAGTGGATTCCCTTTTGCATTTTCCTTAAAAGCTCCAGGATAATATTCATAATGTTTGAGTGACAAGTAAATTCATAAGCACTACATATCTTCGAGTCCATTTTTCATTTTAAAATAGCTGTCATTTCATCTCACAAAGACTGCAACAGGACATTATTAGGGCAGCCACAGTTTTATGGATTTATAAGTATATATCACATTTAAACTAGTTGGTTTATTGAAGATATTGGTACAATTTTAATAATGTTAATAAATCGCATTTATGCAAAGCAAAAAGGTGAAACTAAAGTTAAATCTTGTATTTATCAGACTTTTTCTTCAAACGTTTTATAATCCCATTACCTTGACTATATCGAATGGGCTGTTGGATGGATTGTCTTTATTTGTGGAGCGGTAGAAGGAGTGTGATTCCAATTAGTGCATTATACTCTTCATGGGCTGCCTTTGTAATGAGTCTTAGAAGCTTCAGTTGGTATAGAAGTCAACAGCCAAGCTGGTCTCTGGAAAGACTCAGGTCCCATATCACGTTAACTGAGAGTATTACACTGGCTGCCAGTTTATTTCCTGGCAAAATGCTGATTATCACTTTTGAAATCTTACATTGGTTGAGTCTGGGTTAACTGAGAAACTATCTTCAACTATATTGAGATTATCTGTGGAAGTCAACAACTGGTACAGCTCACTCGTCTGATGAAAGCTTGGTCACGCGTTCTTTATAGCCTCTACTGGTCCCTCAGTGTACTTCTCATTGAACTGAGAAAATTGGTCTCCTTGTTAGCATTAACATTTTTTTCAAGCAAAAATTAATATTTGAATTAATCCTGATTTTATGTTTATATTATAAACTATATCTGATATTTCAGTAGTTAGCACTATAAAAATGTAATTATAAATGAAATAGTATTTTTTCTAACCATTTTATTTTTAACATATAAAGGAGGGGAAACCCTGAGATATAAATAGCCAGCTTTCTTAAATTTATTTTTGTCAGGCAGGCAGAGCTCATGCAGAATTAAGGGGTTAAAAACAGGAAATGTAATTAAATGGGTGGGTTGTCCTTCTGAAGACTTTCCAGAACTTGCCTACACATTCACGTTTTCTTCTGGTGACAACAATATCGAAGCAAAATTGAACCATCACATCTTGAGATCCTTCTATGATTAGTGGAGGAATGTTTCCAGTAAAAGCAGGAAATTACTCACACTGAAGAGAAAGAAATTAGCTTCCTTACATGCAGATGATCATCGCTTCCAGCAATTGTTTTTTTTCTCTGCTTTAAGCAAGCTAGCTGTTCTCTCTTCACACAAGCTACTGCATGTTTGAAGCTTTAAATTTTAAACTAGGGTCCAAGTTTCACTATACAAATCCACTATTAATCTTTACCTCTTAGAAAGTTTATTCTCTTAAGAAGGAACAAA